GAGTTTTTTTTGTTTTGTTATTATGCTTGAAGTTGGCTATACAGTTTGCTCATTGCTAGATCTTCTATGGAGGGCAGGGGGTGTTACATTGTTCTGCTCTTTTAATTTTTAAATTGTTATAGGGTACGTTTGTTTGATGCATGTAATGAATATGCTGAGAGGAAGGGATGACAGAGCCCTCTGGTTGGCTCTGCCTTGGTTGATTTGTTTACTGTTAGTGAAGGTTAACCACTCTTTTCTTTGTGCAAAAAGCCTTAGTAAAGTCGTGCACGGCAAGTGGAAGAATCCTTTGGACGGCCCTCGGATGTGGGATGTGACTATGGTAGTGCTGCCTACGGTTACGACACAGATGAGTGTATGGCATGAGGCTATAGTACTCACCTATTTCTGGAATAATTTGATAAAATACATCCTTTTAGATGGGAAAACTAAAAATTACAACTTAGGAAAAAGGAACCTTGCTCTCCTTTGTGTCATAGATATGTTTTGGCATATGGTATGGTCATTTGAAATATGCTTTAGCCCATTTAAGACTCCATGAGTGCACAACCAATTAGCTTTTCCTCTCTAAATTGCAGAGGTTTAAATAATTGTATCAAGAAGAAGAGTATTGTCAGTGCCCTAACAAGCCAAAAACAAGATGTAATATTTCTACAAGAGATGCATTTGAATAGAAGGCATCAAGTAATTTTTAATTCCACCAAATTTTCATATCAATTTTTGGCTCCTGGTACCTCGAAGTCCAGGGGGGTGGTTATCAGCATTAGTAGAAATATCAGATTTAAATTAGACAAGGTTGTTACAGACCCAAGAGGTCGATTCTTATTTGTGGCTGGGACCTTAAATGGGGAAAACTTGACTTTAGCCTCTTTATATGCTCACAATGAGGGACAACTGCAGTTTTTTAAAAGAAACTTTGACTGAATTAAATTTGGGGTGTTGGTCACGCCGGGTATTTTTCAGTCTTTTATGAATTCGCTACTTAAAGGGATTCCCGGAGTTCAGCCATTTCTAGATGACGTCCTCATCACAGCTCCGGATGCATTGACCTTCGCAGAACGGCTACGGGCGGTGCTTCAACGGTTCGACTCCGCGGGCCTGAAAGTGAAATGCAAAAAATGCCTGCTGGGGGGTGCCCCGGGTGGCATTTCTGGGGTTCACGGTGGACGACGCTAGTATCCACCCCACCGATGACAAATCCAAGGCAATCACGCAGGCGCCGCCACCCAAATCAAAGTCCAAGCTGCAGGCTTTTCTCAGACTTTTGGACTTTTATCATTCTTTTCTCCTGCTTAAGGCTGCAGTGGCGGAACCAGCTGGCTGGTGGGGAAATCCTGCTGGGTGTCTTCGCCAACTTGCTGATATCACTTCTGGGAGCCACATCATCGCGTCTGCAACATTGGGTCTGATGCTCGACGTTTTGGGCAAAACTCTGGTTTGTAGCTTTTTTACCATAGAGTTTTGCCCAAAAAATAGAGCATTGCCCTGATGTCACCAGCATGATGATGTCACTTTTAGAAGTGACATCAGTGCATCGCCCATGTCCCCACCCACCCCTGAAACACCCATCCAATCCCCCTGCCAGCAGGTAGAAGACACCTGGCAACCCTAGGCTCAACAAAGTTGAGGACTTCTGGTTTGCAGTTTCAAATAAAGGACAGTCTAACATATTGTGTCAAAGCTATCTTTTAATGTTTAATATCCAGACCACGTGATAAGAGTTAACAAATGCAGGAGATGGAAAAGAAGAGAAACTCTGATGAAGTCCAGCTATTACAGCTACAAATGGAAAAGGCTAGTTTTATTCTGAGATTTCAAGGAGTTCCTGAAACTAAAGAGTAGAATCTTAAGCAGACCATGATTGATGCTTTGGGGCCGGTTGCAGATTTAAAAGTGGATTTTGTTCAAAGCAAGATGGATGTGATCTATAGGTCATATTCAGAATACATAAAAATAATCTGCCCGGTGAGGTGGTGGTTAGTTTCTCCAGAAGACAAGTGAGGGACCAGATTTTAAAGGCAACAAATGGAACTACCCTTAAAATTGATGGCAACAAGATAAGAGTTTTGAAAGACATTCCCTTTGAAATAAGGGGAAAAAGGAAAAAATATAGAGACTTGGCTTTGTTTTTACAAAAGAACAACATCCCTTACAAATGGATCCTGCCTGAATGCATACTCTTCAAATTTAAAGATAACTGGGGGGAAATTGACTCTGCCATGAAAGCATGTGAGTTCTTGCAGCAACAACTTGGACCAACGGGGGAAGACGATGAGGACAAGGGAAGCAATGATGAAACACCTACTGAAGAAGACTCGGATTCGGAATGTGGGGTGGCTGCCCCCAAGCAAAGATATCGATTGAGGGAAAGAAGAGGCAAACAATGAGATGCTAATTTTCTCTGAAGCTTGTTTTCTGTTTTTTTAAAAAATATTTACTCGTTCTTTTGTATTGTACTTTAAGGTAAAGGTAAAGGTAAAGGTTCCCTTGCTCGAAAGCCAGTCGAATCCGACTCTAGGGTTGCGGTCTTCGTTTCAAAGCCAAAGAGCCAGCGCTGTCTGAAGACATTTCTGTGGTCATGTGGCCGGCATGACTAAACACCAAGGCGCACGGAATGCTTTACTAAGTCAGAATATCTGGACTTGAAGCATATAAGCGACTTTAATGATCACCTTAAATGTAACAAATTACTCTCTTTGACTTAAAGTTATATTATAATCATTATATGACCACCACCTCTTGGGTTTTTAGTGTTTAGCTTTACTTTCTCCCATAGTTTATAGGGGCTTTATTTCTTTGTAGTTTTGGAAAATAAAAAAATGTTAAGGAAAAAAAAAGGAATCACAAAATTGAGAAACCTGTAGAGAAAACTTCAATCTTCCAAGACATTCAGTGGGTGACCTCAAAGTAGCTGTTTTATT